TGTAAGAGGGAATTGGGTAAATTACAGTAGATTGGTCAAACTCTTATATCCCTAATGATAGTCTCATCAGAAAGTGCAAAATGTAATATAAACGTAAAAGCATTGCACGAAAACATTTTATGCCCTCAATTATCAATTGTATCTTGTGTTTATAAGGACATTTAAAATACGTATGATATACAGTAAAACCAATAATTAAAGCCTAGAACAAGAATGAGAAGATTGCACAACATCACCAGATAGAGGGAGTAATAATTAAAACTCAACGTTCAAGGCAAGGAAAAATGCAATATAATTTTTTAAAAAACATGCAGGAAACAGTGGAACCAATGAATATGAATAAACAACAGTGACAAAATAACTGTGAGAAATACACAGACAAAATTGTGCTCAGAGAGAGAGAAAGAGATAGAGAGTTACAGCTATTGATCGCTCTACTGCCTGAATGAAATCAATTCTCTCTACAACAACTTTGTTATTTCTTCCAGCAAGCAAGGCAGCTTCATTTACCAGATTTGCGAGGTCAGCCCTGCAAAATGTAAAAGATCATATAGTTATTCCCATTGCATCACAACAAATAGGTATTCCTTTTCTTTAGCCAAAAAAAAAAAAAAAACAACAAATAGGAGTTTAAGAAGTGCAAAGGGAGGCTAGAGGAGGAGGATGGGAAAGCAGTGGCATTTAAATATGAAAAGGTAAACAGAAAATACCCAGTAAAACCGGTAGTCATAGAGGCAATGTCAAAAAGATCAACATCCTCACCAAGAGGAAGTTCCTTCTTAGAAACATGTACTTTCAAAATAGCTTCTCTTCCGATCCTGTCAGGAGTCTCTACCTGGAAATATATGAGACATGATATCCTTGAGATAACAGTTAAGCAAGAGGGAACTGGTATGTAGCAGATTCCTACATTCAGAGAGTTCATTGTAAAAAAATGCGTCATACAAACCATAACAACACGATCAAATCTCCCAGGTCGACGAAGGGCAGGATCCAAGACATCAGATCGATTTGTAGCTCCAAGAACAATCACAGCAGAATTGCTGTCAAATCCATCCATCTCCTGCAATGTAGTTCCAAAATAATAACTTTCAGAGTGGCATAGCCAAAGGTCCATCCAGCAGAAAAATTATGATGCGGGGAAACTTACAGTGAGCAATTGGTTCAAAGTTTGCTCCCGTTCATCATTGCTAACAATGCGAAATTTACCATCGCGGCTTTTAGCCACGGCATCTATCTGTGCATGTGGAAAGGTGTCAGAAAATTCTACTGGAAATCAAAAAGTTGAATATTGTTCCAACAAAATAATAAAACCCATAGACAAACCTCGTCAATAAATACTATTGATGGTGCCACCTTCTTTGCTCGTGCAAAGAGATCCCTAACTCGAGATGCGCCCATGCCAACATATAACTCTACAAACTCACTGGCAGAACAACTTATGAATGGAACTTCTGCTTCGCCAGCCACAGCTTTCGCTAGAAGAGTCTTACCTGTCCCAGGAAGCCCCACCTGTAACACAAATAAAACCATAAATACCAACTATATATCCAAGTTTACATAAGAGTAATAATGCCAGGAAACTATCATATATTACTGGCATCTAAGCACTGAGTGGAAACTTTGAACATATTGAATTCCATCCAAAATTCTTTTGGACTTATCATAACAAGAACAATGACAAATAGAAAGCTTGCAGGACCAAAAGCTTTAGTTGGTGAAGATATTCTAAGAGTAAGTGACAGAATTAGCAAACCTAACCCAACAATTTTCTGACATTAATAAACTTTTGCACATAGCTCATTACTTCATAGAGTAAAAGCTTCTTCAATATCAGGAAGTAAAGTTTCAACTAATTTCTTTCAATAGCCAGAAAGCTTAATTGTCTCTAGGATCAACTGACCAGGAGAACTCCACGGGGAGGACGAGCACCAAGCCGTATATACCTGTCTGGATTCCTAAGAAATTCCTGGGCAATAAACATAAGCATATAAAGACAATAGCTTGAATTTATAGGAGAATTTACTACAACATATCAATCACTAGTAGCATATATAGAGGAATACTTAACATACCACAATTTCTTCTAGCTCCTCCTTGGCCTCATCAACACCAGCAACATCAGCAAAAGTGATTGTTTCATCTTGTTCAGAACCTTTTGAACCCCTAGACTTGCGATTCCTAATCTGACCTGCTGTATGCTGCATACATGCATGATTCAAATCAAAAACTATGAATGCAACATAGCCGTTAAGGTATTCACAAAACTTACAACCAAATCCACACCTGAGAAAAGCTCACAGAGAATCGATGGAGAAGTCCTGCTAGGACAGCAGTATAGAACAAAGCTATCTGCCAAAGAGAGTGGTCAAATAGATTAAACTTCACATTCAAGTTGTACATGAACACATGATTTAGGAAGAACCATGTGTGGTTGGTACTTCTATTACAAGTTTAGCAACTTTTGGAGGACTGCCTACCATCTTCCCGCTGACAACCAATCTTTAGGCACATTTGATGCCAAACTGCCTTTTTTAAACACCAACATTTCATCATAAATGTCCTCCTTCAGTAGTCACCATTAAGCAGACTAACCTGAGCAAACTGATACCTTGGCTGCACTTTGGTTTGAGGAATTAAAGACCAGACATTATATTTCTAGGTATTTGATGTCTAGCACAAAAACATACATCCGGGTGTTTGTAATATCTTATTTGGTGCTACCATGAACAATCTCTATTAATTTTCTTCTAATTTTTCTTTTATTGATTAACTGAAGTTATTATTTCCCAAATTATAACCAATTTTAGTTCCACCAACTACAAACTTTACATTCCCGACACCTCAAGAGGGAATAAAATTTCCAATAGTAGAGGCCACATCAGATCACTATTTGAGATATCTAGTCAAAGCCAAACAAGGAAAGAGAAGACACCTTCAGCCAAATATAAATTACAAACTATTGAGCTGACAGCTTACCACAATAAACTACTTTGCCAACATAAGCAAGACAATTCAAACGGTTATCATTGAGCATACTCAAAAACACTTCGAAAACAAACAAATTAAACTAGTTTCACTCACTTTCATAACAATAAAAAAAAAAAACACACACACACACACGCTCACACACAAAACTCACCAATGCCGAGTTCAAGAAGCCACCAGACCGCTTATCAGGAGAACCGAACTCCACATCATTTTCCAGCATCTTCTCATATGGAGTCTTGATATCACTAGGCCGCGTGGTTGTATACACAATTCTCTTCGTAGGTGCCACACTCCTCAACAAAGACTCTGACTCTTGAAATTTACTATTACTAACACCACCAATTTCACTCTCTTGAACAATCCCTTCATTCTTCAACTTAAACATTATATGAACCCCATCAACCTCCACTTTTTGAACTTGATTACTACTAATCTTACTCAAAAACTCACTGTACGGAACGCTGACGAAAGTCGTTGGAGTCCTGGGCTCGGACCCGGGTAACGGAAGCCCGGGTCGCAGCAACCGCATAACGAACATAAAAATACCTAACTGTAAAAGCAAAACACCAATTTTTTGAGCTTGAATTATCGGCTGCCACTGCCATTTCTTTCCTTTGGACCACCAAAGCCCGCTTTTTCCGCTCTTTGCTCGTCTCTGATTGGTTGAACTGCCCGAATTTGTCGGATTCTGTTTCTGCTTCACTCCTTGCCCCCCTTCGCTTTCATTTTTTTCGCTGGAAGTCGCCTTCGAATCGCCGCTATCTGTACAATTAGCCAAAATTTTGCTCTCTTTGAACCTTAATTTACCTCCTCCGTAAAGATTGAACCTCCCGAGGTTTCTCAAAACGATGACGTTATGTGAGGGGAAAGTGATTGAATTGGGGATGAATCGGTTCGTGTTTTGTTGCAAAACCCTAAATCGATTGGTGCAGAAGTTAAATCCATGTAGATAAGGAAGATTAGAGTAAGAATTAGTGCTCAATTTACTGTGGTTTGTTATCGTCGTCGGTGGTAGAAATTCAACGGATGACATTTGGGAAACCCTAGAAAATCAGGTAATAAAATAAATTTTCAAAAATCCAAATCCAATCGACGCTTTTTTTTTTAAGTACCGTTTTTTATGCGCAGAATTTCGAAGAAAGACGAGCAGAGAGCCTTGGTGAAAGAGATAATTATGGGAGAATTTGAGCCGTTGGATTAGAGGAAACGATGGGGTTTTAACCGTCGATCCTCCATTTTGGGATCATAAGGAGCAAAGAAGTAAAGATTGGATGCGTCGGGCATAACATACGGTTTTGTGATATATAACACGTGGAATGCGTGGGTTGGAAGGTCACTAAGATTGGGCGCAAACCACATTCTTGGCGCTGATTCGTAACCACACGCTTGGTTACATTAGGGCCGTAACTTTGGCTTTTTTTGTTGTTTTTTTTGGTTTTTTTGGGCTTTAATTTCCACAGTTAGATGCCCGTCTGTCCGACTCCAATGGTGGAATAGATGGGTTCCGGACCAATCAAATTCCAAACAATGAATGGGGCTAAGTCTAGAAAAAAATTTTAAAATTTGAAGAAAATAATAATTTTATTATATAAAAAAAAAATCATCTCTAAATATTATATAATTAATACTGCATGAAAATTCTCATCTTATCAAAAATACTGCATGCATATTTAAATTAATAATAGAATAAAATTAATCAAACTAATAATTTTTTGTAAGAAAAAATTACACAACCTTTTAAAAATTAAAATTATAAACTTCAATAAATAAATAGATGGTAGGATGTAAAAAAAAATTATATGAATATTTATGCATAATATTTATAGCAATTAAGAATTTTTATTTATATTTTATTAATATGGAAAGAAATAATAATAATTATGACCACGAGTTCTTTAAAAAATCAGCATTAAAGATGATAACAGTCAAGTAAAATAACAGAAGAAATCTGAAATTGAAAAAAAATTGCTAAGCAATTAAAGAATCCGTTTTAATTTCTTTTCTTTTGGGTTTAGTGAGAACCGGAAACAATCGGATTTGAATTGACCCGAACCGATCGCAATTGCCGATAGCTTAGGACACTGAATAATTTAGAAGTTAATTTTACCGTTCAAGGTAAGTAGGTAACTGCTACTATTTCACGCTGTTGTGGTTTCACGACCAAACCCTGCCAGGTGAATCCTCCCGTTCCAAGCTTTTAACCTTCTTTGGAACCTTCCCATTAAGTCAAAGCCAAAGAAGGGTTTCTTTTTCGCATCTCGTTCTATCCAGTTGGATCAATGGATTGCATTTACAAGAACTCAAATGCGCTCATAGAGGATCGAGTCAAAGACCTTCTTTCTCGAATGACTCTACAAGAAAAAATTGGTCAAATGACCCAAATTGAGCGAAGTGTCGCCACCCCTTCTGCTCTCAAAGATCTTTCCATTGGTACTCTTTCTGTTAGGCATGTCCAGCAGTTTGTTGACAATTAAGAACGCTGGAAAACACTTACTGGCCTTTTTTTTTTTGGCAGGGAGTATATTGAGTGCTGGAGGAAGTGGGCCTTTTGAGGAAGCATTGTCATCTGATTGGGCTGATATGGTGGACAAGTTCCAGCAGTCAGCACTTGAGTCACGGCTCGGGATACCGCTTATATATGGGATTGATGCAGTTCATGGTAACAATAGTGTTTACGGGGCCACTATATTTCCTCACAATGTTAGCCTTGGAGCCACTAGGTTTGTTTCATCTTTGACCCCCAAAAGCGTTTATGGTAATTTCTAATTTTTTTTTTCAATGACAGTGCTGATAAATTACTTTTTCTTCCAAAGCATAAGGTCCATTAGAGAGAATAAGTAAGAGAAAAAGAAAAAGAAATGTTAGACTAGAACTTGGTACTCTTGTATTTAGCCTTCTTTATTTCCTCCTCCAACCTTTTAAGGTAAAAGATTCATGGGAAGGTTATTTATAATATGGTAACAGTATCTATAATTATTCAATATATATGATAGAGATGCAGATTTGGCTCAAAGAATTGGGGCTGCAACTGCTCTTGAAGTTAGGGCAAGCGGCATTCACTATAACTTTGCTCCCTCTGTGACGGTAAGTCATTGTAAACATAATTATTCAAATGTGCTTCTTTTCTACTGTTTTTGCACTTATTCAATAATTACCAATCTAAACAAGGAATATGACTTCAGTAAGTCAGTAACTCACTTCAAAAATTCACTTTAACAATGTACAGAACATCAAATTTTACATGTCCCTATCACACAAAAGGGCATCTCATAGTAGCCCTTGAACTATAGTTCCATATGATATAGGACATCTTATGTTCTTTTTTTTGTATCTACCTTATACTACTTTTGTCTGAACATTTAACTTGAGTTTAAAACAGCAGTTAATCTAAGCAATTTGTATTAATGGATTATCGCAGGTGTGCAGAGATCCCAGATGGGGAAGATGTTATGAGAGTTATAGTGAAGACACCAACATTGTTAGAAAAATGACTTCCATTATTACAGGTTTGCAGGGACAACCACCAGTGCGACACCCAAAGGGCTACCCTTTTGTAGCTGGGAGGTAGATACATTTGTATCGCGTTTCTTTATTAGCACCCATATACCTCATTAGAAACTTGTTGGAATCTCTCACTGATTTTGTTTGATTCCAGAAACAATGTTATTGCATGTGCCAAGCATTTTGTTGGAGATGGGGGTACTGAAAAGGGTAAAAATGAGGGGAATACCATTTTATCATATGATGATTTAGAGAGCATTCACATTGCACCATATCTGGACTGCATTTCTCAGGGTGTTTCCACAGTTATGGCATCATATTCCAGTTGGAATGGACATAAACTTCATGCTGACCAGTTCCTCTTGACGGAAATTTTAAAAGATAAGCTAGGTTTTAAGGTTGGGAACCCAAATTTATTCTTTGTATCCTAAATGGCCCTATCATAATATGGCATTCAGTTGAAAGATTTGTGTAGCATATGTAATTTCTGGGGAATGTTCTGTTCAGGGTTTTGTGATTTCTGATTGGGAAGCACTTGACCAACTCTGTGAACCTCAAGGCTCAAACTATCGTTACTGCATTTCTACTGCTGTTAACGCTGGAATTGACATGGTATGGTTTGTTTCCAAAGTCTAGGATAAATTTTTCTTTGATTTATATCTTCATTCCCTGACTGAGAAAATGTGCAGGTGATGGTGCCTCACAGATATAAACAATTCATGGAGGATTTGACATTTCTGGTTGAATCAGGGAAGGTACAGATGTCCAGGATAGATGATGCTGTTGAACGAATATTGAGAGTGAAATTTGTTTCTGGTCTTTTTGAATATCCCTTCTCCGATAGATCTCTGCTAGATATAGTTGGCTGCAAGGTAAATTTTGCAGAATTCAGCACCTGACATATTCACCTCAATTATAGAGTCCTCCTGTATCTCATCAAACTGAACTATTGGAACATAATTGATTGTTTTCTAGATTTTGAAGGAAATTTTTTTGCAACATTTGTCCAAGAATTTATTTTATATTAGTGTATTTCAATTAGTACTGTAGAGTGTACACGGCAGATTTTCCAAGATTTGGTGTATCTTGTCAGGAGTATATTTGCTACTTTATATATTAGATAAATGTTTCAAAGAAGATTCCATTTCTATATTTCGTCTGTCCTATTGTATGTATTTTCGGGTAAATACTCTCTAGTTACTTTTTAGTACCTCATCCATAGTTTTGTACAAGTCCTTGTTGATTTTATACAGGAGAAAGCACAACTAGACATTGAGTACCAACTCTGATTTTCCTGCAGCTACACAGGGAATTAGCACAAGAAGCAGTTCGCAAGTCCTTGGTTCTATTAAAAAATGGAAAGAACCCAGAAAATCCTTTTCTTCCATTAGACAGATGTGCTAAAAGAATTCTTGTTGCTGGAACACATGCTGACAATCTTGGGTACCAGTGTGGAGGTTGGACAGGTACCTGGCATGGAGGCAGCGGCAAAATTACAATCGGTAAGCAGATATATGGCCCATATATTCATCCCAAACCTCCCCTCCCAATTTTCTTTTGTTTTTCTTGTCCATTTTCTTTCTGTTTTTTCTCTTCTCTGTGCATTCTGATAGTCAAATTAATCGATCATCTGTTCATAAAGCCATACCATTTATCAACAAAATGCACGCACAGACTTCTGATGCACAGTTTTTGTACTTGAATATATTTGATAAAAGATTGCATGAATTTATCATACTTGATTTGCATCTTCCAATTGATGATAACTTTGCCCCATTAAGAAATATGCTTTGTATTCCTTAGTTCATGTAGGCATTTGATTGATTGGTTTATTATTTTCTAGGTACAACCATCTTGGATGCCATTAGAGAATCTGTAGGAGACGAAACAGAGGTGATCTATGATCAATATCCCTCACCAAACACCTTAGCAGGGCAGAACTTCTCTTTTGCCATTGTAGTTGTAGGTGAACCACCTTATGCTGAAAACTTGGGTGACAACGAAGAGCTTGTAATCCCCTTCAATGGAAGTGATATAATCAGTTCAGTCGCTGACAGAATCCCCACATTGGCAATCCTTATATCTGGAAGACCCTTGGTTTTAGAGCCATCGGTTTTGGAAAAAGTGGATGCTTTAGTTGCTGCTTGGTTGCCTGGAAGTGAAGGGCAGGGAATAACAGATGTCATATTTGGAGATTTTGAATTTGAGGGTCGATTACCAATGACATGGTTTAGAAGCGTTGAACAGCTGCCAATGAATGCTGGACATTATTCATATGACCCCTTGTTTCCCCTTGGGTTTGGATTGACATGCAATAAGGAGAAACCCCTAGAGTAAATAATTTCAGGCAAGTGGTGTGAGTTTTACGAACAATTAAGGAAGAAACAACAGCTGGTTTATTTAGTAAGCTTCCTATTTGTTGTTGTTCCTCATCTGTATAATGCTGGGTGTGCTCAATCACATTGTCATTCCATCTGAATCCTTCTTTTCTGTTTCAAAAGCCATAATTATGCCAGTGGTGCTTAATTAGAGCACAGCCCTCTCTTATGTTTATAAAATATAAAATGCATAATCATACCTACATCTGAGGCTTCTATTCTCTAGGCCATTCCATATATAGCCAAATAAAATAGAGTTAACGAGGAATGGTTGGCCAAACTTGCAATATATATAACTCAGTTGAAATTTGACTATGATATGTGATCTCTCTTCCTTGAACGCTTGAGCACACTAAATGCAACATGCATGCTGGCCACTCCTTGAAAGCCAAAACTTTAAACTTTACATGTGTTACTAGTCAAATCCCAATTCATCCTGAAATAAGATAATCTCACTCAAATGTGAACCTTAACACTTATGCTTCTATATTTGATCTGATATTACTATACAAAGAATATACATTGTTTTTCGTGTAGACAATTGGTTCCACGGATTTATCTCTTTTTTAGGCACAACAATCTTGGATGCATTCAGAGAAGCCATGGTAAACGGAGGTGATTTATGAAAAGTATCCTTCACCAGACAGCATTGCTGGGCAGAACTTTTCTTTTGCCATTGTAGTTGTTGGAGAAGAACCATATGCAGAGTCTGCGGGAGACAATTCAGAGCTAACAATCCTCTGCAATGGAAGTGAGTTAATAAGGTCAGTTGCTGACAGAATCCCTACAATGGCGGTCCTGATATCTGGAAGACCCTTGGTTGTAAAGCCATGGCTTTTGGAAAAAGTGGATGCTCTGATTGCTGCTTGGTTGCCCGGAACTGAGGGGAAGGGGAATAACTGATGTAGTTTTTGGAAACTATGAATCTGAAGTCGACTACCAATGACATGGTTTAGGACAATCAAACAGCTGCCAATAAACATCGGAGACAATTCATGTGATCCTTTGTTTCGTCTTGGTTTTGGATTGACACGCAGCAAGGAGAAACCTATAAGCTAAATAATTTCATGGCCCAAGCCAGCAGTGCTTTTGTTTTTGAACAATCAAGGTAAAAAACATCTGGTCCATGAGCAAACTTCATCCTTGATTTTGCCATTTTGGACTTGTCCTGAAAGGCTGCCTATGAATGAACTCAATCACATTGTTGTTGCACAGCAATCTCTCACGGTTTCCAAATCACAATTATGTCAATGGTTGTCTCTCCTTTTTCTTGATGGTGATTTATGGTGTTTTCAGTAGCATAAATCAAGTTGACATCTTTGCATGCATGGATGCATTTCTGAGGATGGAATTGATCCAAAAAAAAACGGGGGGGGAGGGGGGGGGGTGAGTGGGTTGGGTCTTGTCTAATAAGAAGAAATATCAGGACACATAATTGATGCCTCCTCAGATTCTTAACAAAATCCCAAACTCCGTACGAAAATGGTATGTCCTTTCTGTTTTATCATTTTCTATTGTCCTAAGATGCCTCAAAATACGTTGTTGTATTCTAATTTGTTTCACTTGAAACAGTGTACAATCTTATAAGGTTTGATAGCATTGATTAACGACACTGGGGTACAAGTATTTATACCACATCATCAGTCCACGTGTGTTTCATTTTCCATGTCATCATGCCACGTTGATGCCAGTTGTTCCAGATAACGACTACCTTCAAAGAAAAGGCTACTTGGAATGACCATATTGGTCTGTATTCTTTGCTTGATATGTGGGACTGAATATACAATATACCAGAGACTTTGGTTGGTTAGTAGGCTTTTCTTGATGGTTGCCTTCTGCATAGTAAACCACCAACAGATGCTAGTATTAACAAAATACTAAAAAACAACTTAAGAAAGTTTTAAGGGAATGGGAATAGCACACAGAATTGAACTTTGTTTTTTCCATTTGTCATCATGTTGAAATACAAACAATAATAATGAAAGCAAAGAGCTACAATAACTTGCTGTAGTGCCCTACATACTCTTGGTCACATGATTAAACTGCAATCAGATATGGCGAAAGAGTCACCGTAAGTCATCATGGCTATCGAGGAAACCAAGTTGAATGATGGTTGACGTTTATAATTAAGTTGCATCAAATTATATAAAAAGCAAGGAAATCAGCATGGTAATCTGACTGAATCTTGCTTTGGAACACTATATTCTATTAGTGTAACCAATAATCTATAGTTCAAGGTGGAATTTTCTTCTTTTGGAAGAGGATCTCTTGACAAAGATCTCGCAATGAAGAAAGATTACCAAGAATGAAAGAGAAGGCATTGAAGAATATGACGCTCAAGTTAGTGGAATAAGGAGTCAGCCTGGACAAGGTTTGAAGGTCAAGAACTGTCAAGTAGGCCATTTGGGGTGTACGAAAATGGGTTAGTCCAATAGTCTAAAGAGGTTGATAGTGAACTGAGCTTTGAATTATACTATGGAATTCCAAATCGAGTGCCCTGTGACTCAGCCAATTTGTCAATTTGAACTGATCATCCAATCGGCTGTGTTTAACTTTCGTTCGTTAAATAATGAAGTATCCAAACCAGTTCAGAAATGTGCAGCAATTTTAAAGATTTCAACCTATAGATCATAACTTTTGCCCATGACTTCAGCGTAGCAGAAAATTTTGGAGTTTAGTTTTGTTGGCAACTTGGAATGATTGGTTTGAATCAAATGACTAAGATTTACAACATGGAACAGCCAAAAGTTTACAATCAGATTGATGAACTTCTGCAAACATGAATGCAAACATTTCTGAAATATTTACAAAGAGTCATGCCTAAAATAGTCTAAGTTTTAAACTTCTGATCATAGATGCTTATTCGTTTACTTCTTTTCTCCACGTAAGCTTGTAATTCCAACCCTACTTGGTGATGCATGTATCAAGTGCGCCAATCTTATCCTTGGGAGACTAATTCAGGTGCCAAATAATAGTAGGCAAGTAATGCAGTCTTGCTTCATACGATACTCCTAGACTCTAGGACAACTTTATTCCTAACACAAACACGCATGTCCATCTTTCGATGCAATCTGGATAAGCTCACCACTGTTACCATACAGCATAGCAATTTGATCCAAGGGACAATCAGATTCCAACACAGAATCTCAAATACAAGGGAAACCCATGTTTAAGAATCTTCCTGAGTTTCACACTTCACACTATGAAATTCCTAACAAAACTCACCTTATCCCTTGGTGTTTGAATGCTATGGATTAAACTCAAGTTGTTGATAATATATTCACATAAAACCATGAAAAACGTACAAAGACAGCTATACTTATAAACTGAAAGAAGGAATGGCTTATCCAGCCAGGAGAAACTCAGAATAGGTGTTGTCTCATCCGTGCGGATATTGCTGTGCGGATTGCATCTGAAAAACCAAATTTTGAGGTCCAAAATAAGACTCATGAGCAGCACTTCTGTGCAGATTCTGCATCTGCATTTTTAATCCATAGGCGGGAATCCCATAAGGAGAGGACATTGACATATTTCCTTGAGTCGAATTAAAAGCCACTGTTGCCCCACTGCAAGGCTGATTCCATTGCAAATGTGTTCTGGGCATGGCAGCGGAAGTGAGCTGCTGAGGGAGCCCTGAAGACTGCTCCGATGAAGGAATTCCCTTGTTGTCTGGTGAAGGAGTTCTGGTGTCGTTGAGATTGACAGTTGTTATGTCATGAATGCTAGCTCTTCTCTTATCCTTTCCCCCTGAAAGCTGCCTGATGAAATACTTCTGAGCATGACTAGCCACTTGAGTCGGTGTTCTAGAGACAACAAAATTGCGTGAGATGTTCCTCCAATCCCCTTTGCCATATTTTTTTAGGCCCATTAGAAACAATCTGTGAAAAATCAAGGAACATAACATTCTTGTCACTAAAACGCAAGTTTATCACTCAAATATCTCAACTAAAACCACTATAAAAGCTTACTTATGCTCCTCTTCTGTCCAAGGAACCCCCTTCTTCCTTTCCTGCTCGGCAGGCCTGCCCGATGAAGATCTCTTTCCACCAAGTCCATATGACTGTTTTAATCCATCATAGCCACGGCTGTTCACCCAATCCAATGTGAATGGAGAGGTGCTATATCCAGGAATTGGAACCAGCCCTGCTTCTATACTGCTAACATCAGCTTCTAATTCTCTATACTGCTTGATTACATCTCCTACCGTCTTCCCTGGGATCATTGCAGCCACTTTCTGCCATCGATCAGGACTATCCTTATCATGGAGCGCCAAGGCGTTCTCGAACATCTTGTTCTCTGCTGATGTCCATTTCGTGCTTTTACTGTCTTCAAGAAACCAATTTGTGCTAGAGTGATAAGATGTGGGCGACAGGATTTCCATTTCCCACTTCATAACATCAAATTTAAGCACAAAATACTACCAAAACATGAAAGTTTTATCCAAACAAGTTCCTAATTCAATGATCGTTTCAGGTGATTGATCACTTGGAGAATGGAATTTCAGTTACACCATTGGAATTGTAAAAAAACAGAGCAAGAAACTACAGGGAAAATGCATAGAGGTAGAGGGTATCAAAGGAAAAATATCAGCGTTAAATCATGGAGCATTTGCAAGGAATCAGAATAATTTTTTCCAGGCAATGCCCGAGGAATCTAGAAAAAAAACCCACTTTCAAAAGAAAATAAAATTCCAAAGAAAATCTACAAAATTCATGTAACTTTTAAGTAAAAACACTCAAACTATCCCAACAAAGAACCCTAACACCACAATTAAGATCTAAAAGAGCAAATATCCTGAAAGAGTCGAAAGAAACTGGGATAGGAACTCCCTATAGTTACGACAGAAAACAGTTAAAAACTGATAACCAACACTTAACTTCAACTTCCCTGGTAACTCAACAAGGCAAAAAGTGAGAAGCTGACAGCAGAAGGCAAGAAACTGAGGTGAACCCAAGAAACAAAAAAGGTTGGATATGGGAACCCAATTGGGGAAAAACAAAGACACACTGAATTTAATAGAGAAGCAGTGTGAAAAGCTGAGAAAATATATGTTCTTCCTTCCTTCTCCTCGACGAATGAGCAACAAAGAAAAGAAAGAAGAGGAGAAAAAATATATACTAGCTCAAAAGCAAACTACCAAGCTCCAAGGAATGAATCTAAAAATTTGTTAAAATCTTTGGGATGAGAGCGAATAACCAAAGTTGAATAGAGAGGGAGAAGGTGGTGGGCTGTGATTGGAGGGTCTGGGGTTATTGGATACTGCAACTCATGGAAGTTCTTAATAAAATAGAGCCCACACACTCTCTCTCTTTGCACTTTAATTTATTTCTTTTTTTTTTCGTACTTCATCATAAATATTCCAATTTTTTATTCTATGAAAAAAAGCATAAAAACATTAATTTTTTTTTGGTATACTTTCACTTTTTTAAACTTCTTTTTTCTTTTTTTTTTTTATTTTCATTTTCAATGGCATCTACTTTTTTTAATTTTTGAGTTGTGTAGAATAAAAATACCAAAAATTTCAAGAAAATATATTAATAAAAATAAAAATATCCATCAAATTTAAATTATTTTTTCTTATATGCATATCTTTAAATGAATGATGAAATACTTTATGAAAAAATTTAAATAACAAATTTAATTTAAAAAATTTTATCTCAAAAGATAATTTAAAATTTATTATAAAATATAAATAAAAATGAATCAAATATAAATAAATATTATTATATATGTGGTTATATAAATTTTTATAATAGTTTATATTCAATAAAAAAAATTACATTATGTTTAAACTCAATTTATTTAGATATTAAAATATTCAAGTTTGATATAAGATTAATTCATTTAAGTTTGTAAATATTAAATAAATATGTTCATAAAAAAAATATATAAACAAATAACTAAAAATTTGCTCTTATAAAGTAATGACTTGAGCTCCTAAGAAGGAAGATGACATGCCTATTTATAAACAGTTTCTTACTTTACATTATAAGCAAAAAAATCTTTATTGTCCATTTTAAGTTATTAAAATTATATTTATAATAAATTTTTTAAAAACATTACAAAAATTTTTTAATTTATGTTAAGTATAATTTTTAATGTATTAATATTAAATTATGATTAAAATATTATTAAAAAATATTTAATCATAAAGTAATCATCTTAAAAGAAATTTAAATAAAATATAAATAAATATTTATTAAATTTGTTCATAAATATTAAATGAATTTATTTATGAAAATAAATAAATAAAATAATTTTTTATTCATATTTAATTTATTTATTAAATTTAATAAATAAATAAAAATAGAACATATTTAAATTTATATTTTTAATAAAAAGATAAATGTCATAAAAAATATTATTCTTTTATCAAAATAAATTTTACTCAAAAATAATAAAAACAAAAAAAAAAGGGCAAAGGTGTGGTCAGCTTCAAGGAGTGGCCGACAAAGGAACGGTCCAGATCAACGGTAAATTTACATGGGGCAACTTGATTAGTGGGGCCCTCACACGGTTACAACACTTTCATTGGGCAGTCTTCCATATATTTGCACAGGTTACAATCTCAAGATGGAAAACACTGGGTCCCGCTACATGTTAGACTTTATTTCGAAACGTGGGAGCATCTGGTTGGTTAATACATGGTCATGATATAGGCCAAGTCCTAACTAGCCAGGGTCATAATTGATCCATTGAACTGGATCCACGTAGGAAGTTAGAAAGCGTACATGGTAGGAGCAACCGCATGAGATTAGTTTCAACTTGGCTAGAACCTTTTGGCACACCCTTGGCCAACCCAACCAACAAACCGCCGCCACTCGCATTTCCACTCGCTTTTTAGCCCAATGTTGGTAATTGGTTATTGGTTGATTTAGTTTATTTTAATAAAATAATAATAAGAAAATTAAAATATTTTATTAATGTAAATGGAAAATTTTTATCAACATTATTTTTATTTAAAATTTTAATATTATATAATATAATAAAGGTTTTGGCTTTAATTCCTTAAATTTAAGTTCCTGTCAAAATAATGACTAACAACTTAATTAATGAAATTGATTATTATAGACAACATTAATTTTTTATTATTTTTATATTTTAAAAATATAAAATTTCACTGCTTTATTTTAGTTAAATTAATTGAATTTATATCATTATCTTATGAATATTAATAAATTAGATAAGATTATATAAATTTTTTATCGTTTAATCTTGTATCAAACATTCTAACCTTTAAGTGAAATATTTTTCTAATAATATTTAATTAAATTTGACTAAAAATTAATATGAAGTACCATTTATTAGATAAATTGTATTATAAATTAGTGCATTGCATATGTCACTCAACTCATTTGATTTTTTTTTCACATATGTTTAAAATTATTTTAAATTTTAATTTTCAATAATTTTAAATGTAATGTGCTCGGTTGTGCACAATTATTTCTTTTTGCTCTCCTCTCTCACCTATGAGCCCTTAATCAATCCAACCAAAACGGTCCCATTTTGATGTGACCAAACCGCTCCATTGTTATTGTCTTTTGTAGAGGTTTTTTTATTTATTTTTAATAATCATTTTTTTTAGTTCAGTCTCTAAAATTAAGATAAGATATGTTATACTTAACAATTTAAAATAAATAGTTACAGATCGTACATTCGAGATACCTTTAACAAGTGATCACTGTATGACTCGAACTTAGAGCTCTTTTATCGAAGAAGATGAATCTTAATAAATTAAACCAATAACTTGTTAATAATCTATCATTTGAATCTTTTATCATTTATACTTGATTATTAAACATATAATTATTTTTGAATCTGTAATTTTTTAGTATTAACTTTAATATTATTTCAATTTATCTTAAAAATAGTAAATTGATTTAATATCTAAATTTTATCTTAATCAAATATTGAGCTTTTGAATTTTTTGTTCTTTTTTTTTTTTCTCAACCCTACCTAAAACACCCATAAAAATATAGAGCATTTGTAGGTTCTTTACAATTTACAACTTAAATGAATATTTACCTACCAAAGAATGTTAATTTAATTGATAAAAAATAATTTTAGTCATTTTGTGTTCAAATTTATTAAAAGATTATAAAAAAAATAAAATTTATTAAATTCAATATAAATAAAGACCAATTAAAAAATATACTACACCAAGCTTAAAACCCTTAACACTAAAAAAAAATGATTAATTATGTAACGTCTCTAATATCACATTGAAAGAATATGTAGATAATAAATTATATATATAACGATCTAAACTCAAATTTATGAGATATTTTTTTATGATATAAAATCGTCAAATATTTAGGTCAAAGTAGACAATATGTAATAGGATAGGTGTGAGTCTCCACAAATAGTATCAAAATAATCACCAATTAATGAAAACTAAATATTACATCGTGAGAGTCGTTAAGTGCTATACGATGGTAAGCCACCTGTAAAATCCTAACATCTAGTATGATTTTGGTCGAATTGTTAGACTCGATTTAACGGAAACTAAGCGCTGCATCATAAGAATCACTAAATGTTACACGATGACGAATTACTTTTAGAATCTTAACGTCTGGTATGATTTTAATCTAATGGTTGGATTCGATTTAACAGTAATATTAAGCTTTAAAATGTGAAAAGATTATAATACTCTTAATTTTACATTGAAATAATATGTAGATAAATAATGATATATATGTAAATATCTAAATTTAAATTTGTAAGATATTTTTTTATGAGATGAAATTATTAATCTTCGAATCAAAATGAATAATATATCACAGATTAAGTGTGAATCTTCTCTAGGTTACTTTAAAAAAAAAAAAAAACAAATTATTTGCTTTATTTGTGAATGGCGGTGTGTTTGGTGGTACCTATCTTTCTCGTTTCTTTATTTCACTCTATTCAAATAAAGGGACAAATTGGTTTTTAAAATGTCCTTTATTATAGGAGTACTTTAATTACCAAATCATTGGTGTCTAGATTTTCATTAGGATTTCTTAGAATGAAGGGCTCCAATTTTTTTTTTCATTTATTTTTAAAATCTTAGAATTCTTTTTACAATTTGTGATCAATAGTTTTTAATAAACTCATCAAAATTACAGTTACGCATGAATTTTACATATAATTTTTAGATTCAATAATGTGTATAAAAATTCTCAATGAATTTATTTATATATTATGAAATATATTTTTGACAATTTTAAAAATTATTGAAAATGAGATGGTTTTCTTTGAAGTCCTTGATGAATATTGTAGTTAAAAAAAAAAAAAAAAAAAAGCAATCATGGCTACTTTAGCCTTTATTCGATCAAGTGCTTTCTTTTTCAAATAATAGACAAATGATCAACAAATTGTTTAAGAACATTTAGGCACAACTGTTTGAAATATGCACTAGCAAACAATTAAATGGATAAACAAATGGTGGCTTTTTTTTTTTGGAAAAAGGGTTAGTGTGTTTGACTTTTTTTTTTTTTTTTTGATAAATCCCTTTATAATGGAGTTCCAACAACTCAAGGAACTCCAATGTGGTTGAATTAATACTTTGAATGAATCCCACATGCATTTCTCATTTTCAATCTCTATCATTCATTAAAGCTAAGAGCCCCGTCCAATTTATTATTTCACCCTCATTTAAAATATATATTTTAAAAAATCTAGGTAAAAAATTTTTAAAAATTATCGAATAAAATTTTAATAATTATTTATATTCTTGATATCTTATTACAATTAATCAAATCCTAAATATTTTATTTCAAATCAATTGAATTTTTAGATATTAGTTTTCACCAAATTAAACTTTTAAACATCAATTTTCATTCAATTAAACCATTGATTAGATGAAAATAGTTTTTTTTTTTTACTTTAACAAAGATTAAATTGATAAAAATAAATGTTTGAGAGCTTAATTGATTGAGAAAATATAAAAACTTAGATGATTATTAAATTTTATTTTAAAAACCTATTTGACCCTTTTATCAAAAATCTAATATCAACATCAAGATGTAAAAAAATTTTATTAAAATTTTAAATAATAAAATTATATAACACATCAATTTCAGCAAGCTCAAAATTATAGTTTTTTCAGAGATGATCAAAATATATATTTCGTCTATATGATCGGAAATGATTTTGAAATTTATTTTAATCGATTTTAAAATCATATTTTTTCACATTAATTTGATGTATTTAAAATTTTATTTTTAAAATTTCTCACAAAGATCGAATTCATAATGCTCGTCGAATCAATCAGTATATTAATAATATTTTTTAGT